GTAAAGTCGTACAAATTCTCAACGTTTGCCTCTTATTGTATAAATTGTACTCAAATTGCAAGCATTAATATATCATTAGTTTTATGTTTGTATCCTATATATGGCCTGAAATTACCGACATTTGTATAAATTATAAATTGCATGAAATGGAAAACATATTTATAAAATATTAGATATTAGATCACAGATTCTAGATTTTGTCAAATATTAATCAATTATAGGATAAAATCGTAACATTTAAGCGAATTAGCCGTAAATTATTAATACAAATATGTATATACTGTAAATATTTGTAACCACAATTCATATATGAAGAATGTGGTCTATATTGCCTGTCTGTGGCAATGCTAATCTTATTCTTTTGCTTCATCCCAATTGTGTTTAACGTATGGTAAATATTTGTGATATTTGTTTAATAATATCTAGAGTAGAGATTATTCGGGACTAAAAACCATTAAATTCGGTCGGGAACCGGGAGTAAAACAGTCAAATTCGGGAATATTCGGGAATTAGCGTTTAATCAGTTCAAATACAATAATTATAGATCTAAGTTGGGTACCTTTTTTTGTAGAGCTTCGATTTAAGTTGTCATAAAAATATCTAATATTGTTAATGAAATAAGATATTCTTTACAATATAACATTTACTGTAACAATAAATATTGTATATATAATATTTATTGTTACAGTAAATGTTATATTGTAAAGAATATCTTGTTTCAATATTAAGTGTATTGGTAGCCAATGGACTGCTTGTATTCACAGTTGAATTACAATAAATAATAATAATTATTATTATTACTGATGAGTCAGTAAAATTCTTATAGTTTATTTTAGTTCATGTTCAATACATACAACGTGCTCAATACATGTGAATTCCACATTTTTCTACATCTATTAGTATTTTAAATAATAAAATCCAAATATCTGGTCATTTAATCCCTATATTTACATTTAACTATGAACTATATGGTAAATTGTACTGTAAGTTGAACTGCAATTTTACAGAAAGTGTCGTAAATATCAATTTACATACAGTATTTCATGAACTGGGTGAACCATGAGTTGTGTGAACTAAGCATTTGTATGAACCAAATCTCAAAACATAAACAAGTCTCTCATAAACATAATGTTAAAATAACATGATTTGTGTGAACATGATCTGTGTGAACTAATGATCTGTGTGAACAAATTGTAACTAAATTTATGTGGCATTCAATGCATTTCGCAATGAGTTGTGTGAACCACACAAAATAGCAAACATATAGCTAAATATAGATGACAGCACTAAATAATTTTGTGCCCAAAACGGCTAATAAGTTGTTTTTATTCAATAAAACATTAAAATAACAGAAAATTATGACAATTTCTCTTATAGCACTTAAAATTAGTAAATTAAACCAACATTTATGTATTAACCATACTTTTAGTTCATAATGATTTGTGTGAACTAATGATTTGTGTGAACTAAATGGCCAAATTTATCAAGTTCACCCAGTTCATGAAATACTGTATATATTTATTTATATTTAGAAATGTTGTCATAGTTGGTCGTTCGCACGTTGTTTTTTTGAAATATAAACCTCATCTCTGTTCGGATTATATCATTCTCTTTTGGATGAGCTAGGTAACATTATACATTACATGTTATATTATAGTTTCTAATTTTTCACATTTTAAAAATTTACATTAACATGGGATTACAACGTAAGTCTATGGCCAAGCTTAGGAATTTTGCTACATTGATCACGGACAAAATTTTATGTTTTAAAACAAAAAATAGTAATAAAGTAATAAATTTAAAAATAACAATAAAAGTAATCAAATTTACACAATCGCAACTGTTTTTGATTTGAAATCCACATGATTACATAGACTATGGCTACACTTTAACATGGGCTAATGTTAACCTATGGGTAATGTTAATCATATGGGACTAATGTTAATTCTATGGGGTTTCTATGGGATTATAGATTAAGTGATATAGGTTTAACATAGGTAATGATAAGTCTATGGGCTAGTGCTAATCTTATGGCAATTATAATCTTATAGATTAACTGAAAATCTTTATGGAACTAATGCTAATCCTATAGACTAATGTTAAGTCTATGGGTAATGCTAAGTCTATGGAGAGTGGTAATCCTAAGGACCTATTAAATGTGTAGATGTGCTCATCTATTCTTTGAGAAACACCCTAATTGTGGTCAACGTATGCATCGCTGTGTGAGTTGTTGTACATTAGGTACAAAATTAGGGCTGTTTTTAATAAAAACCTGTGAAATGTAACCAAATTTTGTCTATTTTATTGTCTAAAGAGAAGACATTCATAAAAATAGTCAATTATTTTGTTTGAATGAAATTTAAAAATTTATTTTTCTCAATAAAATATAATAATTTTAATGACATAATTATAAGCAAATGTCTGATTGAATGCATTTTAACATTAAGTCTATTTCTTTTTCTTCTTCTTTTTCTTAGAACTCGTTTCGGTCTCCGCTTCGACCGCTTCCTCCTCTTCTGCTT